AGAGAACCAATCAGCTGTGCCATGTGATAATGATGTCATTCGGTCAGACTGAGTTAGACCTATCGGACTGCGCCATCTAGAGTTTCATGCCAGAACTCTGTATACATTTAAAGGCCCCATGAAATCAAAACTGAAGTTTTGTAGCTTTTAATCCAAGCTTTGAGGTCTTATATATCTGTTATTTATCAGATATATGCATTTAGTTTTTCTCTTTCAGGAAAACAGACCAATACTGATGACATATTCTCCTTCTCCGAGCCTTTCGGACATTTTTATCCTATAAATCCTGTCTATGAGAATGTCTGTAAAACATTCTGCGTCTACTGTGTGGCCGACATGATTATTAGCTGTAGGTGCATTTCACCTTATCATGGTCAATCTCAGTGTCTCCAGTGATCACGATTCTCTTCTCGATACGGGTCTCTGAGATCCCGCCTTTCACCATCTGAGCAGAGAAAGGGAAGAGAACGAGAGAATGAGAGAGCCAGAAACACAGTGAAGTGAATATCTCATCTGTGCAGTACGCCAAATCTTCACTAACTTTGTAAGATGCTGTGGAATGGTGATATAAATTGTAATTAGCAATGGCTTTATCTTATATACGCAGCCTCTTGGCACCATTGTGCCCTAACTTGCAGTGTGCAGTATTGTATAGTTTTCTGCAATTATGTTTTGCAGAAAGTGCTCATCTTATTATTTTAAGTTTTACATTGTGCTTAAATAGGACCATTTAACATCAATCAGTTGTTCTTTAAGCAGCAGTCACTGCAGGTTTAGGCATAGCTTCATGTACCTTGGTGATCTGGGTGGTGGTGGTGGTGCTGACGGTCTCTGAGGTGATGGTCTGAGCACTCAACAGCATCCCGGACTCCTTCTCTGAAAGCGCGTTGGGCTATTAGCAAACAAACACACATGTGCTTAGAAATCTCTTCCATTACATCCCTCATTTATCACTTACTGTACATCCAAAGCCATTTCCTATGGAGCCCCAAAGGGGGCACAGTGACGGAAAACATTATAATTCAATGCTTTTGCATTTGCTTCTGGGTTCTCTCAAAGAATGTTTTGAGTTTTCCCACAAAATAACTGAAATATAGTTTTTTTCTCCCACGTGCCTTATTAAGGGTGCATGTAAAAACTTTAAAGGTATATATTAGTACATAAAGTGTATATTAGTACCTAAATGGAGTGATGGAGTGCTTATTTCCTTCAGCAGCTCTGCATTCACTAGCAGGAGGTTACGTTTCTCGAGAGAGCATAAAAGTTTTGCGAGGGAATGCAAAGTTTCTCAGGGAAGCGGTAAAATATAATAAATAATACATTTAATGTTTTCCCATCACCATGTTCCTTTAGGGTCTTTGTAATAATAATAAAAAAGCTTCCTACTAAAATAATCAGAAATTTATTGTTATATATTAATTCTGTCCAAAACCAAAATAAGTACTTTTTTTTTTTTGGGATGCACCGAAATGAAAATTCTTGGCCGAAACCGAAACCGAACAAAATGAAACACTGGGCCAAAGGCCGAATACCGAACACGGTTTTTCAAGTTTTTTTCCCTATGTATTTTGACAATTTTTTTTATTTTTTGGCAACCAAAATTATTATATATTATATATAACAATTTTGGTTGCCGAACATTTGGTGCATCCCTACTTTTTTTAAATTGCCAATCTTTGGTTTTCCAAAAATAAATAAACAAATAAATATTATTAATTAATTAAAATAATAATAATAATTTTGTTTTACAAGTTTCAAATGCTAAAAGTGAATTAGTAGCACTTTTTTTATTATTGGACTTATTTTACAGTCCTGTTCCACCTGAACACTGGGTATGCACTCTGTGAGTTTAGTGTAAGTGCACATACAGTAAAATAGTGCAGCCAACGAGTTTGGTATGCTATAAGTGAATTCAGGCATTTATAAAGATGGATAATTTTTGGCTAAAGATGGAAAATTGGAAAAAATAAATCCTCAGTGGGACCTCTGGGATGCTGGTTAGAAACTCTTTAAAAAACTGGCCTAAGAAAGGCAACTAATGGATCTTAATGATAAGTTAAACTCACACAGCAATGCACTGTGAAACTGACAGCACTGCAATAGATTACAACAGACACTGAACACATACAGTGCAGAATGGGAAGTTATGAAAGCGATATATTCTGTTCTGAATACAGATCTGTGCCGATACATGAACAACAAAATGATTATTACTGAGGGATGTGGTTACCAATATGTGTTGATGCTGATACATTTTACATCCCAATGCATCCTAGTTCATTTTTCATTCCATGTGTGACATATTCAGTCAAACAATGCCACAGTGAAAGACTAACCAAAAATTATGTCAGCAACAAGGTTGATTCAAAGAGCGACCGGGCTCACCTGTGCAGACTCATATGTGATGGTCTTGGTCTCTGTATGCACAATCGGGATGTCCTTGCTGGCGATTTCGCTGCGAAGGGAGTTGGTGACATCAGAAATGGTGATTGTTTTTGTCTTCACCACAGGAGACTGTGAGAGGGGTCAAGACACAGTGGAGAGTGAGCAGAGAATCGCTTTTCTCACTACATTAACTTCACCTCACACACATAGCAATTTCGTCTTTTAGCAAACTGCACCTTCCAGCTCAGAATGCAGCACTTTCCTCTCACTCCTTTCATTTTTCCAGTGTTTGGCTTCTTCTATTGATCATAACTGAATAAAACATGCTGAGTGACGGCTAGAAAGCATTATCGCGAGATTTTTTTTTTTGGCATGCAGATCACTTCAGTATTTCTAAAATTAAAAAAATGCATGTATATAATATTAATCTCTCTAGCTGTAATCGTTCATGTGCCGAAGCGGGTCTCATATTCAGTCAGGTTGTGTGGGAGGAAACTAACCTGTGTCTCACGCAGGAGTTACTCAGGGGTGATCTCTGTTTCCTGATGCACCACCACTTTAGTCACAGACATGTCAGGGTGCTGCTCCTTCGCCTCCTTTATAGCCTGAGCAAGAGCCTGGAGAGCCGAGAGGACAGTATTTAAACCAGACCACTAAACGTATTTCTGTCATGACAACTCTCGGAGGAATTGGCATGGTAATGTACATGACAATGTTGATGTATTTGGTCTTGGCTGAATAGATCTGCTACACTGCTGCAGTACAGAGTACCGAGTACAAGTACAGAGACTTGCTACTGCCAATACATCAACAACATGCTGCTGTGAGCATGTAAGAAATATTGCAGCTGCACATATAACATACATGAAATAACCCCCATATAGCGTACACGAATCACCTCGTAGCAGATCTATACAGGTGGAGCTGGGGAAGGTGGAGGGTTTCTGAAGCAAGCTGCACTGCTACGGCAAGCACTAATCATATATTTGAATGTTGAGCAGCGAGCTTATTGGCCACTGATACAGGAGAGAACCAATCAGCTGTGCCATGTGATAATGATGTCATTCGGTCAGACTGAGTTAGACCTATCGGACTGCGCCATCTAGAGTTTCATGCCAGAACTCTGTATACATTTAAAGGCCCCATGAAATCAAAACTGAAGTTTTGTAGCTTTTAATCCAAGCTTTGAGGTCTTATATATCTGTTATTTATCAGATATATGCATTTAGTTTTTCTCTTTCAGGAAAACAGACCAATACTGATGACATATTCTCCTTCTCCGAGCCTTTCGGACATTTTTATCCTATAAATCCTGTCTATGAGAATGTCTGTAAAACATTCTGCGTCTACTGTGTGGCCGACATGATTATTAGCTGTAGGTGCATTTCACCTTATCATGGTCAATCTCAGTGTCTCCAGTGATCACGATTCTCTTCTCGATACGGGTCTCTGAGATCCCGCCTTTCACCATCTGAGCAGAGAAAGGGAAGAGAACGAGAGAATGAGAGAGCCAGAAACACAGTGAAGTGAATATCTCATCTGTGCAGTACGCCAAATCTTCACTAACTTTGTAAGATGCTGTGTAATGGTGATATAAATTGTAATTAGCAATGGCTTTATCTTATATACGCAGCCTCTTGGCACCATTGTGCCCTAACTTGCAGTGTGCAGTATTGTATAGTTTTCTGCAATTATGTTTTGCAGAAAGTGCTCATCTTATTATTTTAAGTTTTACATTGTGCTTAAATAGGACCATTTAACATCAATCAGTTGTTCTTTAAGCAGCAGTCACTGCAGGTTTAGGCATAGCTTCATGTACCTTGGTGATCTGGGTGGTGGTGGTGGTGCTGACGGTCTCTGAGGTGATGGTCTGAGCACTCAACAGCATCCCGGACTCCTTCTCTGAAAGCGCGTTGGGCTATTAGCAAACAAACACACATGTGCTTAGAAATCTCTTCCATTACATCCCTCATTTATCACTTACTGTACATCCAAAGCCATTTCCTATGGAGCCCCAAAGGGGGCACAGTGACGGAAAACATTATAATTCAATGCTTTTGCATTTGCTTCTGGGTTCTCTCAAAGAATGTTTTGAGTTTTCCCACAAAATAACTGAAATATAGTTTTTTTCTCCCACATTCTCAAAAAAAAAAAAAAGGTACAAAAGCTGTCACCGGGGCAGTATCCTTTCAAAAGCTACACCTTTGTGCCTTATTTATCCCTAAAGGGTGCATGTAAAAACTTTAAAGGTATATATTAGTACATAAAGTGTATATTAGTACCTAAATGGAGTGCACGTCATATTATTTCCTTCAGCAGCTCTGCATTCACTAGCAGGAGGTTACGTTTCTCGAGAGAGCATAAAAGTTTTGCGAGGGAATGCAAAGTTTCTCAGGGAAGCGGTAAAATATAATAAATAATACATTTAATGTTTTCCCATCACCATGTTCCTTTAGGGTCTTTGTAATAATAATAAAAAAGCTTCCTACTAAAATAATCAGAAATTTATTGTTATATATTAATTCTGTCCAAAACCAAAATAAGTACTTTTTTTTTTTGTGGGTCTCTGCCAAATAAATAAACCGAAACCGAACAAAATGAAACACTGGGCCAAAGGCCGAATACCGAACACGGTTTTTCAAGTTTTTTTCCCTATGTATTTTGACAATTTTTTTTATTTTTTGGCAACCAAAATTATTATATATTATATATAACAATTTTGGTTGCCGAACATTTGGTGCATCCCTACTTTTTTTAAATTGCCAATCTTTGGTTTTCCAAAAATAAATAAACAAATAAATATTATTAATTAATTAAAATAATAATAATAATTTTGTTTTACAAGTTTCAAATGCTAAAAGTGAATTAGTAGCACTTTTTTTATTATTGGACTTATTTTACAGTCCTGTTCCACCTGAACACTGGGTATGCACTCTGTGAGTTTAGTGTAAGTGCACATACAGTAAAATAGTGCAGCCAACGAGTTTGGTATGCTATAAGTGAATTCAGGCATTTATAAAGATGGATAATTTTTGGCTAAAGATGGAAAATTGGAAAAAATAAATCCTCAGTGGGACCTCTGGGATGCTGGTTAGAAACTCTTTAAAAAACTGGCCTAAGAAAGGCAACTAATGGATCTTAATGATAAGTTAAACTCACACAGCAATGCACTGTGAAACTGACAGCACTGCAATAGATTACAACAGACACTGAACACATACAGTGCAGAATGGGAAGTTATGAAAGCGATATATTCTGTTCTGAATACAGATCTGTGCCGATACATGAACAACAAAATGATTATTACTGAGGGATGTGGTTACCAATATGTGTTGATGCTGATACATTTTACATCCCAATGCATCCTAGTTCATTTTTCATTCCATGTGTGACATATTCAGTCAAACAATGCCACAGTGAAAGACTAACCAAAAATTATGTCAGCAACAAGGTTGATTCAAAGAGCGACCGGGCTCACCTGTGCAGACTCATATGTGATGGTCTTGGTCTCTGTATGCACAATCGGGATGTCCTTGCTGGCGATTTCGCTGCGAAGGGAGTTGGTGACATCAGAAATGGTGATTGTTTTCGTCTTCACCACAGGAGACTGTGAGAGGGGTCAAGACACAGTAGAAAGTGAGATTTCTAACTACATTAACTTCACCTCACACACATCAACAGTTACTAAACACCATCTGGAACCTTTGGCCAAGCCTTTGTACTGTAAGATTGATATTCTGTGCTGACTATCTCAGAAAAAAGCTGCTAGACAAGAAAAACTGCTTAGCCTGGTGTGACTTTGAATGGCTGGCAAAAACCACTTCAGTGATTTCACATGTACTTTATCACCCTTTCCAATAAAAATTATTTAGTTTTATGGTGCGTAAAAGAGTAAATCTATCTAAAAACGCTTATAATGGCACACTGACTGAATTTCTTAAACATAAATGGTATAAAATTGCCACCCAGCTGAGTTAATAATACAGGCAGAGAAAAGTGAGCTGAAATTAGTGCTATCCAATTAATCAAACATATCGCAATCACGATATCGACTACAATAAATCTACAATATCGCAATTATGGTATTGAGTAATGCAAGAACACAATTCTGGATTTGTAGTATAAGAAATAATTGCATGCTTTTGCTCCACATAAAGCAAGTATATTAATATAAATTACAAGGAAAAGAATAGAAAATTATGATTTCTGTCATAATCAGTCTCAGTTGGAATTAAATTATGCTTCACAGAAGTGCGTCCCAGTGGAGAAACATATCAGGAAGCTCCGCAAACACTGTGGAGAGTAAAGAGTGTTAATTCTAAAACTACATACACCCTCTTGACTGAGAGGACCTGAATGAAGCCTTCATCACGCCTAGAAGCCCCCCGCTCCTATTACCCACAATGCTTGGCTCAGATATGCAGATTATGCATTTCAAAACCATCACAAATTAGTATGGTGTGGCTTTTGAATCTTTTATCTATAGGCACTCGGCCAAAAAAGCTTTTGATTTAGGAACGTCTGGCACATTGTAAGTCAAATATTATTTTCATCCAATAATGGCGACGTCAGGTTGACAGATGATGATGAGAATGAACGCTCTGGCAAATTCAAGCCAAATTGTGGGCTCACCATGTGGCGCTTTCAAAAGAATAGATCGGTGTGGAAACTCGCATCAGTCTGCAAGTCTCCTTTTACATAGTCATTAGTGCATTTAAAGGGGTCATCGGATGCCCATTTTCCACAAGTTGATATGATTTTTTAGGGTCTTAATGAAAAGTCATACTTTGGATAAAATTTCTCAATGATAGTGTAAAACAACACCATTTTTACCCTGTCAAAATCAGCTCTGTTTTCAGCAACCCGTTTTAGTGCAAGTTCCTTTAAATGCTAATGAGCTCTGCTTACCCCGCCCCTCTCTTCTGTGGGGTGATGCGCAGTTCTCATGAAAAGCTGCGGAACTTGCTAATTAGCACATTATTAGGAAAGGCGATTTGCAAAGATTCATAAAAGAACCTTATACTCACTTCTTCTGTAAGTGAGGCTGGATCATGAACGATTCACGCGAACATAAACGCATTTAGGCAGATCGGGGACTGGCGCATTCCTTTCAGAATCAAAGCTAATCCTCTGCGTCTTCAGCGGCTCAGATGTCGGGAGTAAATGATGACTGCTATGTTCATTATTACATCCAACAACAAAACACCTCAATCGCTATGGAGCCATTCTTGTCTACATCTGCTCCGGCGGTGAAACAATGGTGGACTGATGACAGCTCACTCAGGGCGGAGCTAAGGTAAAATGCTAGTGTCAATCAACAATTGTGGGAGGGGCCTGGGTCTGTGTGATGTCACACTGCCAAGAATCTGAGAACGGCTTGATTTGAGAAAGGGGAAATTATTTAAATGATAAAAAAAACACTGGGTGGATCTTTATCATTATAGGGTGGTTGTGTACACACTCTTCCAACACACAATTCAGTTCAAACAACATGTAAAAGTGCATGTCGCATCCGATGACCCCTTTAAAAACTAGAGTCACTCAAAGTGCAACTCATTAAACCAAAGACTACCAGAAGAGTCACTCTTCAAGAACTGAAGGGCTCAGAAACCAAAAACACCACGAACTCACCCTAATAAGCTAATGGTGGAAAAAAGGCAAAGGCTGAAAAATCAAATTAGTCTGAGACTATTTACTTTTTTTTGGGAAACTTTTGGATTATATCCTTACCATCCAGGGAACCACAAAATCTCTTGCAAAAGACATTTAAGAATGCGATAACATCTCCATAAGCTGTTTTCATACTGAATGGATTACATACTCTTAGTTAGACAGGGGGAAGAAATTAATTAATTATGAATATTTTGGAATATTTGACATACATTTTCCTGTCTTCTTACAGGCATCAATAAAAGCAGTTGCAGTTTGCCTGGAAATAAATACTGCGGAACTTGCTAATTAGCACATTATTAGGAAAGGCGATTTGCAAAGATTCATAAAAGAACCTTATACTCACTTCTTCTGTAAGTGAGGCTGGATCATGAACGATTCACGCGAACATAAACGCATTTAGGCAGATCGGGGACTGGCGCATTCCTTTCAGAATCAAAGCTAATCCTCTGCGTCTTCAGCGGCTCAGATGTCGGGAGTAAATGATGACTGCTATGTTCATTATTACATCCAACAACAAAACACCTCAATCGCTATGGAGCCATTCTTGTCTACATCTGCTCCGGCGGTGAAACAATGGTGGACTGATGACAGCTCACTCAGGGCGGAGCTAAGGTAAAATGCTAGTGTCAATCAACAATTGTGGGAGGGGCCTGGGTCTGTGTGATGTCACACTGCCAAGAATCTGAGAACGGCTTGATTTGAGAAAGGGGAAATTATTTAAATGATAAAAAAAACACTGGGTGGATCTTTATCATTATAGGGTGGTTGTGTACACACTCTTCCAACACACAATTCAGTTCAAACAACATGTAAAAGTGCATGTCGCATCCGATGACCCCTTTAAAAACTAGAGTCACTCAAAGTGCAACTCATTAAACCAAAGACTACCAGAAGAGTCACTCTTCAAGAACTGAAGGGCTCAGAAACCAAAAACACCACGAACTCACCCTAATAAGCTAATGGTGGAAAAAAGGCAAAGGCTGAAAAATCAAATTAGTCTGAGACTATTTACTTTTTTTTGGGAAACTTTTGGATTATATCCTTACCATCCAGGGAACCACAAAATCTCTTGCAAAAGACATTTAAGAATGCGATAACATCTCCATAAGCTGTTTTCATACTGAATGGATTACATACTCTTAGTTAGACAGGGGGAAGAAATTAATTAATTATGAATATTTTGGAATATTTGACATACATTTTCCTGTCTTCTTACAGGCATCAATAAAAGCAGTTGCAGTTTGCCTGGAAATAAATATAATTTGGCTATAAGCAAGAAATCAAGATATTGTGCTTATAAGATGACCATGGCAAGAAAATAATTAAGAAAATTCGTTTTTGCAGTGGATATGGTGATCTCAGAGTCCACAATAAAACGATATTAGGGAATTTCAGACATTTGAGCTCAATGCAAATTGAAAAGAACAGACTTTTATGTATTCACTAGATTTCAAGATGTTCTGTGAAAATGACTTCATAGAAAAGTTATTTTTAAAGTTTATTGATTGTACCTTGGATTGTCTTTATCATGGAATGGACTTAATCAGAGCAGATGTTATATATAATTTGAAACCAATCAAAACCAGGCTTAGAAATGAATGAAATCCACAATCTGCTACACTTTACTGGGCCTGTCCAGCATCACTCCACCAGTGTGATCCAGACACCTCAAATGTCAAATTAAATAAATATGCCATCTACTCTGACAACAGTTCATAGAAGTGCAAAAGTGTGCAAGGAATTTTTAAAGAGAAATTACGCTACCCTATATGCATATTAAATAAAAAAAAAACAATAAATAAACAGATGAACATACAACACATTCTCTTCCTTCTATCACTATGCATTATGCGGTCACTCATTGCAGAGAGAGAGGCTGTGATTGTTGTATCATGTAAGACACATTTAAAGCTGGCATGACAGTAGTACTGATGTTTTTGATGCATGCTGGAGTCCCACGGAAGGAGAAACAGGATAATATTTGTGTGGTGTGTAATTAAAGCCCTGATATGCTGATCCACTTAGGGCAGATACAACATAAATACTTCACAAAGAAGAAGACGGTATTACAGAAAATTACAGTGTTTGCAAGGCAGCAAAAAATTGTGTTTAAGTTTCAAATGAACATAGGTTTTAGCCTTTGTTTGTGCATAACTGAAAGACCAATCACAAACCAGTAAACAAATAAATGCATAAAAAGACCGCTCACAATTTAGTATGCAAATACTATGGTAACAATATCGTTAGCAGTTATCTTTCAAATACTTTAGCAACGTACACCACCATTAAAAAAGTTTGGCATCAGTAATATTTTTTGTTTTATATCTTTTTTTAATTCTCTTACACAAATGTATTTTTATATAAAAAAAACTGTAATATTATAAAATATTATTACGATTTAAAATAACTGTTTTCTATTCTAATATATTTTAAAATGTAATTTATTCCTGTGATCAAAGCTGAATTTTGAGTATCATTACTACAGTCTTCAGTGTCACATGATCCTTCAGAAATCATTTTAATATGCTGATTTGCTGCTTATTATTAATGTTAAATTTAGTTGTGCTGCCTAATATTTTTGTGGAAATTTTTTTTTTTTTCCAGGATTACTAGATTCATAAAAAGTTCAAAATACAATTATGTAACAATGTACATTATGTAATAATGTCACTTTTGATCTATGTAAAGATTCTTAGTTTAATATTGACACCAAACTTTTGAACGGTAGCGTAAGTCAGTGGGACATTTCTGAATTTTAAATTAATTATTTGTATTTTTTATTTTAACAAAAACATCACTTAAATTTGAAATGATCTACAAGCCAAAGTTTTAAATGTAGTCTGTATGATAAATGGTTTGCACTTAATTGTAGAAAATTAAGAAGCATAAGAAGAACTTAACTCGAACTCATCTTGCAAACACTGTAAAAAAAAAAATACTGAAACAATGCCTGTTTTAAGAAGAGCTCAAAATTCTGAAAAGTGAATTTGATAAGTAAATCATTACATCCTATTAAGATAATATAGTGCATCCAGGGTTTTTGTGTCACAGTACATAAATAGTTTAAAATGATTAATTGTTAATCAACATCCACTCTGAAATGGTGAAAGTATTAAGAATCCAAGAGGGACAAACAGAAAAACAGGAAGGACCTCGTCCTCTCGCTCCTTATTGTCTCATAATCCAGATAAGCTCAGTCTGAGAGCAGCTGCTGCCTCCCTGATATCTATTTCATTTCTTCCACGGTCTCTCAAATGAAGACAAGCCACCAGAGCATCAGCGTCAGGACCAGCAGGCTGCTCAGCAGGAGGGAGACGCGGGGGCGATGCAGTACCACTGGGTACAGCTGGCAGACACGGGCCGGTTCCTCTGTGGACACGACTATGGAGACCTGGACGCCATGTCCCTGAGCCTCAAAGTCTTTTTCTTCATTGCAATCATCATCATCATCTTCATCCTTCTCCATATGCTGCAGCAGCGGCGGGCCTCCTGGTGCGGGCGCCCACCTGACCCTTACCTGCTGTCGCCTGGACGTGCCTGCTGCACGCTTCCATCTCTGCGCAGAGCAACGGGACACCAAGAGAGACACAGAACAATGAACAGACATGTGGAGTGGGAAGAGACATGGGGAGAGATTGATGAGGGGTAGTGGAGATTTCTGGGTGGGTAGACAGGGGGAAGAAATTAATTAATTATGAATATTTTGGAATATTTGACATACATTTTCCTGTCTTCTTACAGGCATCAATAAAAGCAGTTGCAGTTTGCCTGGAAATAAATATAATTTGGCTATAAGCAAGAAATCAAGATATTGTGCTTATAAGATGACCATGGCAAGAAAATAATTAAGAAAATTCATTTTTGCAGTGGATATGGTGATCTCAGAGTCCACAATAAAACGATATTAGGGAATTTCAGACATTTGAGCTCAATGCAAATTGAAAAGAACAGACTTTTATGTATTCACTAGATTTCAAGATGTTCTGTGAAAATAACTTCATAGAAAAGTTATTTTTAAAGTTTATTGATTGTACCTTGGATTGTCTTTATCATGGAATGGACTTAATCAGAGCAGATGTTATATATAATTTGAAACCAATCAAAACCAGGCTTAGAAATGAATGAAATCCACAATCTGCTACACTTTACTGGGCCTGTCCAGCATCACTCCACCAGTGTGATCCAGACACCTCAAATGTCAAATTAAATATGCCATCTACTCTGACAACAGTTCATAGAAGTGCAAAAGTGTGCAAGGAATTTTTAAAGAGAAATTACGCTACCCTATATGCATATTAAATAAAAAAAAAACAATAAATAAACAGATGAACATACAACACATTCTCTTCCTTCTATCACTATGCATTATGCGGTCACTCATTGCAGAGAGAGAGGCTGTGATTGTCTGTGCTTTCAGTTGAAATATGTATAAACTATGTATGGAATGAAAGATACAGATTGCATATGTTAGCGTGCTTATTTTGCTCAAGATCTATTTAAGTCCACATGTCATACTAGCAAGAAACTATGCTTCTAACCACAGGTCGAGAGCTGATTGTAAATCTTTGTAACTATAGCTCAACAACAAAATTGTTGAACTGTTAATAACGAAGCTAACTCACAACCTTAGTTGGCTAAGAATGCTTTTGGGAAACACCCCCCAAACACACACTTACGGTGCTGGAACATTTACATGACAGCGATATATTAAAAAATGTAAAGTTTTTCCATCCCGTTTTTGAAAAGATCCCAGTTCATACAGATCCATGAAAACAACTAAAAACGTTGTATTATTCATGCTAGGCCAGTAGTTGGCGATGTTATTTGGCCTGCGCAGAACTCATGGGTTTATAATGGGTTTGAACTCACCGAACAATTCACTTACTGAATTGTTATAGTACATTTTATATAGTTAAAGGAACCAAAACCATTATATTTCCTGTGATCCCCATCCCTAGTCACATTATTTTCAGACGAGTGAATGACACACACAAAGCCATTCAACAGATCGGCCACTGGCCACCAAGACACAGGTCTCTTCTTTCCACTTTCACTGTCTTCTAACTGCATGCTCCTCTTTTTTCATCACCTGCAGCCTGATTTGTCTCCCATCATCTCGGCTCAGTGGCATCGGGTAATCAGCTATGCTCAGACACTGTGAGGCTTTGAATATTCATGTCAGAGAGGAGGCTTTGTGATTGCCCAAAACAAATGATCCATGTGTGCACAGACAGATTGTGATTAATGAGCTCGAGAGATAGAGAGAGAGACAGATCAGCTGATCTTTATTCACATAAATACAGACTTCGGAAATAAAACAGATCTGTGTCTTGGTGCCCAACAGAACATCTGCGAGAATGAAACACTCTCATGACAAACCATCCCTCATCATCTACACCAGACTTCAGACTGACAGCTGACACTTAAAAATAAACAATGCCAAGATGTTTGTCGGTCTCTTTAATTTTTGACCTAATTCTTTTAAAGGGATAGTTCACCCGAAAACGAAAATTATGCCATCAATTACTCACCCTCATGTCATTTACAATTCCTCTGATTGTAAACAAGGTGCAGTGTTTTCTTTTCTTTGCGCACAAAAAGTATTCTCGCAGCTTCATAACATTACGGTTGAATCACTGACGTCACATGGATTATTTTAACTATGTCCTTACTACCTTTCTAGGCCTTGAACCTGGTAGTACACTTGCTGTCTATGGGAGGGTCAGAGAGCTCTAGGATTTCAATTGAAAATATCTTAATTTGTGTTCTGAAGATGAACGAAGGTCTTACGGGTTTGGAACGACATGATGCGTTTTATTAGACCGGTTACGACCGCACAGAGTAGCATTATTACAGAACTTTCAAATGTATCTAGTATGATAAAATAGCGCTGCTTTACCCCACATACGCACGACTGGAAGCAGCGGAAGCGCTCGACTGTGGCATAATAAAAGCTCCGCTGCTTTACCACCAAAGACGCTTTTAATATGTTATGCGTTTTATTAGACCGGTTACGACCGCACAGAGTAGCATTATTACAGAACTTTCAAATGTATCTAGTATGATAAAATAGCGCTGCTTTACCCCACATACGCATGACCGGAAGGAGTTGGCGCGGTCGACTGTGGCATAATAAAAGCTCCGCTGCTTTCCAGCCGTGTGTCACGCTCGTTCAGCGGCCTTGTTTCACTTCGACGGCTTTCAGCCTCACCCTGCTTCATTCTACTATGTTAATAAATCATTAGCTCATCCATGAACATGATTTCTGCCCAAATCCCATCGGATTGCATCGGCTGTGGGGATGACGACCACAACTCCCATGATTCCACACTCAGTCACTGCGTCATCAAACTACGCCTTTGTTTCAGTTGTTTGTTTTGAATACACGCCCTCTAGCGGGGCGAAAACTTACATATTGTGCCTTTAAGTAGCACTATTTTGTATGGTTTTGCTGGAGCTTACTTAAAAAGCTAGTCTGGCAAGCAGCTCACTATGGCTTGTGAAAAAAAAAATAGAATTTCTGTTTTTAAATCATTAATTAATCTCTTCTAAATGCTAATTTGTTATTAGGAGGAGAGAGATGAGGTGGTGATCATGTGAGCACTTCAGAAGTTTTACCATTAGATAAACTGTTCAAGCTCCAGTGTGAACAAAGCCTGGGTTCAGACATGGGTCAAATGACTAGATTCTGATCTCTACACAAGCTGTTTCAAAAACTGGTCTAAATCAATGCAAAACGAGTGTACTAAATAAATCATATGCTGTCACAATTCGCTGCAGCATATGATGGATTTTTGTCCCATGTCTCCTGATTTATGAAACAAAGCAGAGTGCAAAACAGTGCTTGGCTCAAACACCAACGGCAATCTTAAACACTTAATATAATAGTGTATGTGATGGACGCATAGTGTTATATATGAAATTCGGTTAGATACAGAGGTCACAGGGTTAGAGAAGAGGTCAGTGGGTAGGTGAAGGGGTTAATGTCACAGAATCCATCTGGGTTTCAGACTCATCAGACCTCACAACAGTGGAAACAGCCTTTGTAGTAACTATGTAAATATATGACTGGGACAGGCTGTACAGATTGTATACTGTGTAACACTACAAATCAGTAATATTATAATCATGTGATCTGGTAACAAATAAAACAATAAAAGCATGCATTAGAATGCTAAATGTACAGCCAATGATTATATATCTGTCTAAACGGTAGACTTCAGTATATTTATGGGCTTGTCACAGTATGTTTAACCCTGGGTAAACATCTTTTTAACCCAGGCTAAAGGCCACTTTAACCCTGAGTCATAAAATCCTGTATTAGAAGCATGTTGGCATGTTTTTTGTTGTGCTAAACTCCAATCTGTGGTGCCAAACAGCATGAAACAATGTGGTGCTAGAAAGTTACAGCAAGCAGTTTAGCAATTAAAAACCAATCGTAAACTAAACACAGGGTTATAATTGGATTATTCATTTCAAGTGTGAAAAGCTCATTAGAAATATTTAGAAAAGGTAAAACAGGCAAGAGTCTACTGTAAAAATTAAACAAAGGCATTCATGCTAAGAGCCTAACATGCTCTAAAAGGCATCTAACGTTGCTTCAATTAAATAACATTTACACAAAATTATACTCATTAAAAAGCTTTTTTATGCGATCCACCTACTGGCTACATTTTTGGATCGACTCAATTTTGCATACAATTAAAATAAAAAAAAAGCATTTAATATAAAAGAGGCAAACAAATTATAATTCCCAATCATATATTTAATAAAATAGTGCTAAGCAAACAGAGAATAAATAGAAGCGAGTACTTGCATTACAGTTAGTGAGGTAAATAGTGCATGCCAAGCCTTTAGGGTTAAGCTACAAAACAAACCAAAACACAAGAGAGAGAGTGCGGTGAGAAGAATGAAGAAAGAAACAAGATGAAACAGAATCTCATGCAGTGATACATGCAGCAGCAAAAACAAGACATTTCCAGAGTTTCCATACAAACCTCCAACATTAAATTGCTATGTCTGATATAAATAGTTTCACCCTCAGTTTTCTTAGCTCTTTTCTGTGAAGAACAGAGAAAACATAGAGTTGGCAGTGTTTTGAACGTTGAGAAAGTCGTGAAATGATTCTTGGGTCATTTTGATTAGGTTTGATCTGCATTTGCATTCAGTGTGTGGGGACGTGTAGGGATGGAGACAAATCAAATATGAATGAACCCCAGCAGCCGCAGCTAGACAGAGAGGAGAGGTCAGAGGTCAGGGGTGACTGCGAGGTCAGGGATAATTGTGCAATGGGTAAAGTCTTGAAAGTGTAATGAGGTATCAGTTTAAAATTAAACATCTCTTTGCCATTATTGGTGAAACACAGTGTATTTGCTGTGCAACTCTCTGGTGTTATCAAAACAGCATCCTGACTATCCTGACCAAGCAACACTGGCTTAACCTGTGCAAATCTTGTCTTGTTGTAAGATGTATATCAGTGACTTTGTCCATAATTTTGTGATGTCATGCCGCACTGAGGCAGTAATTAAAGCAAAAGGAGCCCCTACCAAGTATTGAGTACATGTACAGTAAATGAACATACTTTCCAGAAGGCCAACAATTCACTAAAAATGTTTTTTTTATTGGTCTTATGAAGTATTCTTATTTGTTGAGATAGTGAATTGGTGGGTTTTTGTGAAATGTGAGCCAAAATCATCACAATTAAAAGAACCAAAGACTTAAACTACTTCAGTCTGTGTGCACTGAATTTATTTAATACACGAGTTTCACAATTTGAGTTGAATTACTGAAATAAATGAACTTTTCCACGACATTCTAATTTATTGAGATGCACCTGTATATAAAAAAAACTTATAATAATGAAATAAAAGGTCACCTAAGTGTACTTTCATATGTTTCTTAACACTTTTTAAAAGTGCACTTTATAATAAGGTCAAATTTTGCCCTTAAAGTTTTACTTTAAAGCAACCCTCTACATTGCGAGTAAAGCACTCGCATATGTGACTAAATCTTCACTCTGGGCGACTAAATGTGTAATATTAGCCAATGGCTAATAAATTCTCAGATTTTACTCGCCAGTGTGTGAGTTGGATGTTGAGTATATGATTAGCACAGATATATTTTCACTCACAGAACACTCTCTGACTGAGCACTTCAGAGTTTCACTCTCCGTCAAGCGATCTGTGCTGCTTTTCAGTTCTTCTGAATGGATGCGCAGCGCACCTGTGTTTGTGTATTTGGCGCACCGTAAACTCTAGTGTGAAGGCGCACGACTCGCCGTCGCTTTCTCTCACACACGCAAAGTGAGAGAGAGAGCGAGACAGTCTTACATAACATGCAGAATTGATGTGATGCATGTAAACTATATTCTTTGTTGTATTTTCCTGTAAAAATAACAGAGTTCCTTTGGAATTCTTCAGCTTTATGTTATATATATATATATATACACATATACACATACACATATATATACACATACATACATACATACACACATACATACATACATACATACACACATGCATACATACATACACACATACACACATGCATA